AATAGGGAAGGGTGGAGGGGGTGAAGGGAGGGCTAGGAATGGGGAAAAAATAAGAACCAAGATGCATTATGTAAAGGTACAATTCCCAATGAGGATGTAGTTGTGTTGTATACCTACAATGTACCAATAAAAGAATTTTTTTAAAAAAACAAAAAACCTGCTAATTCTGTCTCTAGAATGTTACCTGAAGGGCTGGGGGAAGGGTGTGGGTCAGTGGCAGGGCACTAGCCTACCACATATGAGGTGCTGGGTTCAAATCTCAGCACCACAAAGACAAAAAACAACAAAAAGCCCACCCCCCCCACCCAAGAAACAAAAAACCTTTTAGGTCACTGTGCATCAGATCAGATACAAAACAAAATCTAATCTTCCTACCATATGTGGAATCTGACCTTTCCAACCTCCAGCTGTCACCTGCCTTCCTCTTCCTCACCCGCTCCCACAGCCCTGCCCAGCTGCTCCCACCACAAAGTCTTTGTACACATCCTCACGTGGTTCCGTGGCTTTGACTTGTAAGGATCTTTCTTTGTACCTCTCAGGTCTCAGCCTCAGGAAGGGCTTCCCAACCATGCTCTCAAGTGGGTCCCTTCTGCTATTCTGTCTCAGACCCTTTCCTTCCTTCAAGCACTAACAGAATTTATAACTTGCTTTTTTTTTTTTTTTTGAGACAGGGTCTCACCTTCTCGTTCAGGCTGGCCTTGAACTATGTAGTGCAGCCTGGCCTTGAACTTGTGGCAATCCTCCTGGCTCAGCCACCAGAGTGCTGAGATTACAGACATGCACCATCACACCTGGCTGTTCCTGCTTTGTCTGTTTTCTTATCTGCCTCTCCCATTCTCTTTGCATATATTCAATAAAGTGACAAGTTATGGCCTGTCCTGCTGTATCTCCAGCACCCAGAACTGCACCTGGAGACAGAGCAGAGTTTCTCCAGAAATATCTGTAAATACAAAGCCTTTTTGGCCAGTGTGGTGGCCTATGCCTATAAATCCTAGCTACAGTATTTAGGAAGTTGAGGAAAGGGGATTACTAGTTCAAGGCCAGCCCAGGCAACTTAGTAAGACTGCCTCAAAGTAAAATTTTAAAAAGGGTTGGAATGTGGCTCAGTGGTATGGAGCTTGCCTTCCATGCACAAGCCCCTGGGTCTAACCCGTAGTACCATTAAAAAAAAAAAAAAAAAAGAGGTGGGGGGAGTCAGGGATGGTGGAACATGTCAGCACTCTAGAAGGGAGAAGCAAAGATCCTAAGACTGAAGTTTGAGCTGAGCCTGGGAAATTTAGCAACTCTGTGAGACCTGTCTCAAAATAAAAATTTAAAAATGGCCGAGGATGCAGATCAGTGCAAAGACCCTGGGTTCAGTTTCCAGTACTGTGGGGGGAAAAAACAGCCTTTTGGGTGGTGGCATCTTCAGCCGTCAGGAACTCCTTTACTCCTGGATTTTGATCCTCATTAATTCTTCTCTGGATCTAGGCTCAGAGTGGAACAGGAAATTCCAGGCAGCCTGGGAACACTGGCCAGTGGGGAAAACACCTTCCCATGGAACTGTGGCACAACTCAACTCTAAACCAGGGACACCAAGCTAGGCCTCAATCCTGTACCCAGCACTGCTGCTAGAGTCCTCAGGCTTCCCAAAGCTTCTTAGGATCCATATTCAACTGTTCTCCTCTTGCCCAATCCTCCAAGCGCCTCTCCAGGCCCCATCAAGTGTGCACAGGGACTCTTAGTTGCTGCCAAGCTGAAAGCACACCAGAGGAGAGAGCAAGGGCTGGAGAGGCCTCACAGCTGAGCAGGGCCACGCACAGGAAGCCTAGGGAGCTCCCCAGGAAGTGGCTGCAAGTGGGAGATGAGCACGGTAGCAGAAACCAGCCGAGGCACTGGGTCCCCACCAGCATGGGAGCAGGAAGAGGGCACGGTGCGCAGTTCTAAAAGCAATATTTACTTTGGTTTTCACTCCATCAAGGCCCTGGGAGCTTTCTCAAGTTCAGGTTCTTGGGTCCTGCACCCTCTCTCCATCATTCCTCCTTCAGCCACTTCAGCAGCTGAGGCGTGTAGTAGGTAATGATGATATCGGCACCTGTGTTGGGAGAGAAGCAGGAAGCAGGGGACAGGAGGAGCATCAGCTGTTGGCCACACCTTCTGGGAGATGGAGGCCAGGTGGGGAAGAAGACCACCATGGAGGGGCACAGCCTGTGGGGTTGCAGCTCTTGACCTTGGGTAAATAATTTTCCCTTTCGAGGCCTCAGTTTGCCAATGCATGAAATGCACAGTGAGGGAAACAGGAAACTGCCAATTCCCTTCCCATGCTGGTATGGGGAAGTCAAGACCCAGTCCTCCAATGAGACTTAATACTGGCACCTGGCTTCCTTGCTAAAGTCTTTTCTCTCCCTGCCCCATTAGCCTGGAACATCTGGAAATGCCGATTGAGCCTTAGACCCCCAGTGTCTCCCCACAGCTACCAGTAGTTTGCTTCCTGTTTCTATGGGGCTTTCCAGTAAGTGGGGATAGCCAGGGGTCTGCTGTTAAATTCCAGGCTTGGGAGCTTAAGGCTGGAGTCCACCCTGATGACCAGGATGGTGTGCTAGCTAACCAAACCTGCTCCCATTTATAGGGTGAAAGCATATGCAACTGCAGATATGATCTCAATTTTCAGGACAACCATGGACCAGGCATCTCACCCCTAGTTCATAAATGAGGACCCTGAGGTTGAGAGAAGTGGCTGGCTTAGGGTCTCACAACCAAAAAGTAATTGTCGCTCTTCCACATTGTACTTCCATGTCCCTTCCTCGTTCTGTATCTGTCTAGATACCAGGTGTGGGAGTTCAGGCTGTCTTGTGGCTGTTTCCTTATCTGGGCAAAGTACACCTCAGTCCCTGTGGCATAGGTCAAAACCCCACCCCTGCCTGCTTACCTGCTCTTCGGAAGGCAGTCATGGCCTCCAGCACAGCAGCCTTGAGATCAAACGCCCCAGCCTGGGCTCCGTGCCACAGCATGGCAAATTCTCCAGACACGTGGTATACAGCAAGGGGGCGCTCATGGTACTGGAGGGGGCAGTGATGGGCACAAAGGCTGAAGGGGAAGGCGGGTGTGCTCCGTGAGTGTCCCTTTCTCCCTCCCCAATCTGTGACTATCGTGAGTCCATCCTAAGTCACCTCTGCTAGTAGCCAAGCCCGATCTAGAACTGTTCACCCAGAGCTGTTTGAAGGCTCCGGCGAGCCTTGGCCCAGAAGGCGAGAACTCCTGTTTGGAGACAGACTGCTTCAAATGCTGAGGTTCCTCTCCCAGCCCTCTGAGCCCCCTTGTCTCTCTCTGTGCTCACCTTGTCCTTCACCTCCCGCACGATGTCCAGGTAGGGCATTCCTGGCTTCACCATCAGCATGTCAGCTCCCTCCTGTACATCCCGGTCCTAAAGGATGTGTGTAAAGTGTGGGCAGCACCCAGAGGTGGGAGGCAGAAGTGCGGGCTGCGGGGGGGCTCAGGCCCTGGTCACTCACCACTGCTCGGAGGGCCAGGCCCCGGGCTCCGGGGGGCAGCTGGTAGCAGCGGCGGTCTCCAAAAGCTGGGCTTGACTGAGCTGCATCCCTGTGAAGCAGAGTCTCAGGGTGGGCTCCAGCTTTGGGCTAATGGGCCTAGGATTTAAAAGCAGAACCTTGCCCAGCCCCACTTACCGGAAAGGCCCATAGAAACAGGAAGCAAATTTGGCACTATAGCTCATCACTGATACCTATGGGGAGACAATGAGGCTCAATTAGCATCTCCAGATGTCCCACGCTGAAGTGGAAAGGGGAAAGAACCTTGGCTAGGAAGCAGAGTGCCTGTACTCCAGTGTCCCTGGAGTGCTGGGCTTTGTCTTCCTCATCTGAGGTGCAGAGGTTGAAACAGGTCCCAAAGGCCTCATCTAGCACTATCCTCAGTTCTACAGTTCTTGGCACTTACAGGGATAGGGCTGCTCCATGCTTTCTCCTCCCCACCCCACAGCCCTCCCTGCACTCCCCACCCGTACCCTGTTGCCAAGTCCATGTGCCATCAGAGCTTCCTTGATGGCTCCCACGCGTCCATCCATCATGTCCGACGGGGCTACTACCTGACATCCTGAGGGGCAGAGGGGGGCCGTCAGAACTCTGGGACCCTACTACCCACCCATTCTGCCACCTCTTTTACCCAGAAATGCCCATCTGTGCTGGGGACTCACTCACCAGCCTTGGCATAGGCCAGTGCCACCTCTGCCAGCCGCTGGCGGCTCTCCTCAGCCCGGAATGCTCCATTCTCACCCAAGAGCCCTGCAAGGCAAGATGGCTGGGTGTTGGGGAGCTTCTTGGGCCCTGGCTGGTGCCCCCCAGGGAGAACAGGCAGTGGGTGTGAGTGGCAGCAGGGCTGGCAGGAGAGATCTCACCACAGTGACCATGGGAGGTGTAGGGGCACAAGCAGACGTCACAAGCCACCAGAAGGTTGGGAAAAGTCTTTCTCAACAGATGGATGGCCTCGACAGCTGGGGACTCCTCGGAGTCAGCTGCGGAGCCCCATTCATCCTAGAGGCAGGGAAAGGAGGACAAAGCAGTGTGCCTGTTACGTAAGTCTTCAGGAAGGCATGGTGGCTGGCATTGCAGAATACAGCCCTAGCTCCCTCCTTTTATCACTGTTGCAGCTCCTGGCTGAGAAAGTACAGAGGATCACCCCCATTTTCAGAAAAAAGATTGACTTACCCAGGCTGGGTATCTCAGCCCTATGTAGTACCTTTTTTTTTTTTTTTTTTCCCTGGGGATTGAACTCAGGACCTTGTGCTTTCGAAGCAGACAGTGGCACCACTGAGCTAAATCCCTGGCCCTGTAGTATCCTGATACTACTACGTGGGTACTATGTTAGGAACAAAGACTATGGCCATTCTGGCATGGCTCCCAGGGCCAGCACAAGGTGGGAACAAGGATGTGGTCAGTATGGAACCTTGGTCCACCCTTGCCCAGCCTCCCTTCTTAACCTTCCTGTGATTCTTCACCTTGGGAACTCTGCTGGGGACCCCAAAGATGAGGACACAACGCAGGCCATCTTCTACCAGAGGCCTCAGCATCTCTTCCAGCCGGTTCACACCGTACCTGGGAGGGGACAAGGAGAGGCATTGAAGGAAGGCAGGTTCTCTGGTCCCTCCATAACACGCTTCTGCTAAGAGCCAAGCTGCACGTAGTACCAGGAGGGCACAAGATCCACAGTGTGGGGGCAGGGAAGAGAAGGCCAAGGGAAAGCCAAGGCCACAAGCAGCAGAGCTATGGAATGGCTGTGGCAGGCTCCTCCTACTGAATTCCCAGCTCCAGTCCAGCTCCCCTGTCTGCAAGGGCACTCTAGTGATGGGTGCTCATTACTTCATAAGGCTGCCTCCTCTGCAGGCCACCAGCTTTGGTCCCGGGAACACCCTTCTCTCCACTGAGCTGAAGTTTGCCTCTCCGGATCTTCTATTTCCACCTGTGAAATCTCTCTCCTCCATCCCCTTGCCCTCCCCTCCACACTTCCTACCTGGCCACTCCTGGGAGGCTGGCGATGGGCTGGACATCATCGGGAACATCCCTGTAAGAGTCAGGGGGCAGGCATTGGCGGCTGTAGGGAGGGCTGGTGGTGAAGGGGTGACTGGGAGGGACGGCTGGGGGGCTGGGAAGGAATATGGGAGTGGAGAGGATAGGAGAGGGATGGGATCCAGTGTCTGGCTCCCCTGCCTGGCCAAGCCCAGGGCCTGAAATAGTAACAGGAACAAGAATAACAGTGACAATAAGACCAACTAAACTAAAAGAACAGTAACCACAGGAAGAAGGCAAGGAGTTAAGAACTTAAACTCTGAAGTCAGTAGGCCCGGGCTTCCTACTCAAGGTGCTTTTTCACTGGGTAGCTCTGGCCCAGCTGGATTATCTCTTTGGGCACCAGACCCTTCACCTGGATCTTTGATGGGTTCATTCATTCAACAAAAAACTACTGAGCACTTATGTGCCAGGTAATGTTCTAGGTACAGATGACATATTATCCCTGCCTTCATGGAGCTGACGTTCTAGGGGATAATATCTACTTCTTCCTCATAAAAATGTTGCCAGACTGAAGGAGATAATGTTGTACAGGTGCTTAGCATAGCAGCTGAGTATACAGTACTCATGATCATTGTTTTTTGTTTTGGTTTTTTTTTGGTACTGGGGATCGAACTCGGGTCCTTGAGCTTGCGCAGCAAGCAGTGACACCACTGAGCTAAATCCCCGGCCTCTTGATCATTGTTAATAAGCAACTCTTACATGGACACAATCACAGAGTATAATGGACAGAGTACCTTCTCTCCATTTTTGTTTTTTTTTTGAGACAGTGTCTATGTAGTTCAGGCTTGCCTTGAATTCACTATGTAGCTCAGGCTGGTCTCAAGCTTATGGCGATCCCCCTGCCTCAGCCTTCTGAGCAGTGGGATTCAAGGATATGGCTTCTGTTTGTGCTTTATCACAAAAGCTCAGAATATCAGACAAGAGTAATTCTTTTTAGTTTACAAATCGCATGACTAAGGTCTTTTCACCATTCCTAAGACTGCTATCCTTAGCCAGTAGGCCAATACCTTGAGTTTCCAGGTGACAGCTGAATTTAGCCCTTTCCCCTCAGCAATACTGAAGCTGCTCCAGGCACACACCTTCCCTGCCCTGGGCACATTACAGCCCTGGCCCATCCCCAGGGACTCACGTGACAAAGATGGGGTAGATGAGGTTGGAGGCACTGAGGGTGGTGGTGGCAGCCTGCCAGGTCCGAAGCAGAGGGTGGAAGTAGCCGCTGTGCAGAACAGACTGGGGCTTCATGGCGGGGCTTGGGACAGCCTGCTGGCTGAAGATAGGCTCCTGGGGCATCTGCTGTGTGCTTAGCTCTATTGGGGGGCAGGAGAACATGAGACATAGCACTTGTCCCCAGGAGATGGTCACAATGGGAAGACAGCTCCCCCAGGTCCCCCCCAACCTGTGGTTCACCCTGTTGTCTGTGACCAGTTAAGAAGAGAAATGCAAGGAAGCTTTTAAAAGCTTCTCCACAATTTGAATCTAATAATATAACATTTGGGCTTATAGTTTGCATGATTGCCATTTTATTTTATGGATTTATTTTAATTTTTAAATTTTTACTTTTTTTGGTACCAGGGATCAAACTCGGGTCCTTGTGCTTGCACAGCAGGCAGCGAAAACCACTGAGCTAAATCCCCGGCCCTTATGGATTTATTTTACTGGATGGAACCCAGGGGCTTCACACTGAACTTTATCTCCAACCCTTTTTAAAATTTTCTGTCTTAAGACAGGTTCTCTAAGTCACAAAGTTGCACAAGCTGGACCTAAAGTTGTGATGCTTCTGCCTCAGTCTCCCAGAGTACTGGGATTACAGGTGTGTGCCACAACATCCAGATTTTTATGACTGCTATTTTATTTTTAAATTTTATTATTTATTTTTGGACTTTTTTCTTTGCTTTTCTTTCTTTCTTTCTTTTATGTATTTATTTACTTTTTGGTACCAGGGATCAAACTTGGGACCTTGTGCTTGTGAGGCAGGCGGCAGAACCATTGAGCTAAATCCCCAGCCTCTTTTTCTTTTCTTTTCCACCCCATACTGGGAATTGAATTCAGGACTTTGTGGTGCCACTGAGCTAAATCCCCAGGGCCTATTTTGGGGTTTTTTTTGAAACAGGGTCTTGTGGTGCAGTTCAGGCTGGCCTTAAACTCACTATGTAGCCCAGGCTGGTCTCAAATTTATGGTGATCCTCCTTTCTCAGCCTCCCAAGTGCTAGGATTATAGGCATGTGCCACCATGCCTGGCTATGACTGCTATTTGAAAATATGATGCTGGGATATGTATGATAGCACATCCCTATAATCCCACCACTTGGGAGGCTGAGGCAGGGAAACCGCAAATTCAAAGCCAGTCTGGAAAACTTAGCAAGACCCTGTCTCAATGAATGAATGAATGCCCTGGAAATGTAGCTCAGTGGTAGAGAGCCCTGTGTTTGATTCTCAGTGGGGAAAAATGACAATTTTCTAATAATTTATTTTCATCAAATTTTATCAAAGAATCAATGGACCGGAAATAAAAGAATGAAAACAAAAGAACCAATCCTTCCTTCCCTATGAATACCTGGATAAGTGCTGACCTAGTCAACATTTAACTGTTTATTCCACGAGAAAAGTCCAGATGAGCAGAAGGAAAACTCCCAGCAAGTCCACCTCGAGCAAAGAGCACTTTGGTGCACGGATTTCCCACGAGGCACCACACACTCCAAGAGGACAAAGCAGCACATGGATGCCAGCCAGAGGGACACAAACGCACCCTTCTCCCAGAGTGGCCACTAAAGCTGTTGCGCAGCCAGGCAGAGCTTCGCCCTGCTGCTCTGCGGGGGCCTCTTGTGCTTCACCTTGCAGGCTAGGCTCTCTCCAAAGCCTCCCACAGCCAGGTCTACAGGTTTCTCCTTCCCTCTCCCGCCGAGGTTTTCTTCTTGCTCACACATCGCAACCTCTTACACAACAGGTCTTTGTGGACTGTCTTATCTCTCTCACCAGGAGAGGAGTCCACGGGGCAGGGTTTGGGGTGAGTTCATCTCTGGCTCCCCACCTCACTCTGCCCACATGTGGACTCTGGCACACAGTAAATATTTAATTACACAAAGTACAAGACAATAGGCCCTACATGCCAAATAAGTGATGTTTTTGTTTTTGAGAGTTTTGGTATGTAATTCAGGCTTAAACTCATGATATAGCCCAGACTGCAATCTTCCTGTCTCAGCCTCCCTAGGGCTGGGATTACAAGCATGCACCATCATGCCCCACTATAAGTGATACAAGATATAAGGTAGTAGGGAATTCACGTTTCTTGGTACCTTATGTGTACAAGGCTGTACTAGGCACTTTTACAGGTGACTTTGCCTCAAGTTGACATGTCAAACCCGTGAGACAGGTTGACAGTGCACCTCAGAGCAGAGGAGCCAGCCACATATGAGCCAAGGTACCAGTGTGCATTAGGATGGCAGGAGGGGCTTGCTAAAGACAGGGTTTGAATTTGGTCTTGCAGGATGCATGGGTTTGGCCTGGCAGGGCCAAAGGATAGTGTTCCCTCAAGAAAGAAAGGGGACAGAGGATGGCTCTGGGCTGTTCCAAGGACAGAGGAGGCAATGCAGGCACATGGACGATGGGAGGGGAGGAACAAGTGAGAGCAGACTGAAGCCAGGGAAGTTTCAGAGCAGGGAGTCAGGGAGCAGCCAGCTCAAAGCCTGGCTTTAGGAAGACAGATCTTGTGACTGAGCAGAGCAGAGCAGAAGCAGAGGAGCACAGAGGCTGCAGGGAGGAGGAGATGGGGATGGAAAAGGAAAGGCCATCGCAAAGCGGCCAAGAGTCTCCACAGCAGAGACAGGGACAGGGCAGGAAGAGGGTGGTGGGAAACCACCTTGGAGAAGAGGCAAGGGCTTCATTTCAGACATTTCCTTTTGCAGATGCCTGGTGGAACACTTAGTAACCAAGCAAGTAGAGGGGAAAAAGAGCCACAGAAAGTGAGGGCTGGCAGGCCCAAGTGCAATTAATTGCTCCTTGTACACATAAAGACCTTAACCCAGAGGGAGCAGGGACTTATCAAAGTCATACAGCACATCAGAAAGTAAAACAGTAGGACTAGAACCCTGGGGATCCTTCAGTGTGCTGGTGCTGTCCTTCGGTCCCCTCTCTGGCCCCTTCAGCTTCCTTCCAACCAACTCAGGGGCCTATCTTATCCCATCTTCCTCCTTGTTGGGCTCTGGATTATCAGGAGCCACGGAGAGACTCACCCTACCCCCACACCCCTGGGTGGGCCAGCCTTATCACCCACACAGGAGCGGGCCAGGCCTCCGAGAGGCATTGAAACTCCCAATCACTCAACAGATATGAGGTCCTGTTTGCCCATCTTGTGCAAGATTCTGCTCTTATTCTGCCAGGAGTTAACTCAGCTAAGAGGGGTTAAGTAACTTGCCCAAGACCACACACTAGTTAGTGACCAAACCAGAATTGCAATTTGTTCTAGACTCCAAATTCAGGGTTTTATGTACTGTTCTCCATATTACTGGTAAACACCTGATTCAATAGGTATCTATCTCTATTCTCTGCTGTGGGTGCTGGAGAGACAGAAGAAACAGAAAAACATACTGAGTTTATTAGAAGTCAGACTCTGCAATTAGTGTACATATTTAAATCGTCCTAACTTTCAGTGATCAGGAAATGGAAGCCCAGAGGGTTATGTGACTTCCTCAGGGTCATTCTGGAGAGTCAACAAATTCTGAAGCCCGGTCCACATGTCTGATTCATCTGCCCGAGGACAATCTTTGTAACAGGCCTCTGGCTTCTGGAATCCTTAGCTGCATTCCACTGGCCTCAACTCCTCCTCTCCCTGAGGCAGCAACTATTATTTTCTATCATAAGAAACTGGCAGGGTCACCTTTGAGCGGGTTTTCCTCAGCAGTCTGGGAGAGGCATGGAGGTAAGTGTGTGGGGCTCACAAGAGCAGTTCCACTTTGATACGGTTTGTTATTTTGAGTCAGAGAGAGATTTGATTGCAAAATTTGACTGAGATTTGATCGTGTCAGTGCTAGAAGAATTAAAAAGTTGAAATCACCCATCCTATGTAATCTTTTACATCTTAATGTGGACAGTGGGGTGCCTCAGAGAGGCCACAGGACTTAGCAATGTTACACAGCAAGTGAAGTCCAGAGCTAGGAACTGAGCCTGAGGCTCTTGGCTTCCAGCCCAGTGCACTGTGACCTTCGCCAGTCAGTGGGTTACAACAGGCGCTTAATAAACACCTGCACAGTAGGAAAAGCCCCAGAGGCACATCTCTGTTTTGCAGGGCCAAATCCAGGCCAGGGTCTTGCTTTCTGAGAACTCTCTCGGAGTTTGGAAGATTTCCACATGATGGGAGAGCACCTCTTCCAAATTAAAGGAGCTTGTAAACCTCATCTTAAATTTTACATTGCAACCTTACAAGGAAAAGCGACCACGAGGTCCAGCATATCTGCTCACTGCATTAGAACAGGTTAGCTTTGCTAGCAAGCAGTATAGGGTGGTATAGAAAGCACCATGTTTCAGGGTTGGTCCTGGGGCTGGTCTGTGCTTTGCTCTGTGACTTTGGGCAAGGCTGGTGACCTTTCAGAGCCTTCACTTCATAATATATGAAGTGGGCTGATACTATCAAATTTGCAAGGCTGTGGAGATTAGAGACAGGGATGAGGGTATGGGTCTGGCACCAAGTAGCCATACATTAAACCTGTAGCTACTTTTATGAGTATTTTGAGAAGGGCTGAGCTGCAATGAGATCTCTAGGCATAGCACCATGCATCTTGAATGAAATACCCAAAGAAGACATTTGTTCAATTCCTGTGGGTTGGAACACAGATGCCAGAGTAGAAGGGAGGGCCAGGTGCTGTGGGAGGAATCTGTGTCTCTGGGAGTCAAGGACAGCTTCATGGAAGAAGGACAGCTTTTCAGGTTGATTGTGAGGGGCAACACACTTAACCTGGAAGTGACCTAACTTGGACCCTGACAGCTGCCACCAGGAGGGGCAGAGGAAGATCTGCAGGGCTCAAGGCTTCCAGGCTGTGTTCCACTGAGATTCCAGAGGCTGAGCTCTTGGCACAGAGTGTGGGGAGCTGGTGCCAGGTTTGGCAGGCTCTGCACTGACTGGAGAGCAAGCAGGCAGAAGGGCCAGCTAGGCAGAAGGTCCAGCTTGAGAAATCCAGAGCCCCAGGAGGGCCCAGGACGTCAGCTATCAGGCAGTTCTGAAAAGGGACTGACTGGCTGCCTGTTCATTAAGCTGTATTTCCTGAATATCTACTTTGTGTCCGCCCTCCTGTAGCAGTGCTAGATACAGGATTAGAGAAGAATGAGGTTGTGGTGGTGGTTGGTGCATGCCTGTAATTCCAGCACTCTGGAAGGCTGAGGAAGGAAGACCACAAATTTGAGCCAGCCAGGGCAACTCAGTGACTTAGATGGTCTCAGAATAAAAAATTTAAAAAGAGCTAGAGATGTAATTCAGTACAAAAGCCCTGGGTTCATTCCCCAGCACTGCAAAAGTAAATAAAAGAAATAAAAGAATGAGAACACAGCCTGGTCTGAAGGTTTTTGAAGACCCATGTTCTGCTGGGCTTAGCCATTTGGAGCTAGGCCAGGCTACCTTTTCTAAGATTCCTAGAACATGGTGGCTAAGAGGCATCTTAAAGCTTGCTGATTACATGAATGAAACAACAATGAAAGCGGGCATCGTGCAGCACGGCAGTTTCAAATCTGAGCTTGAATTCAGGTCTGCAGCACCCCACTCCTCAAGGTCCACCATGGTCCTAGTACTGTAAGGATAGATTTCAAAATTTCTTTCCAGCAGATGTGAGCTTAACAGCTCCAGATGAAGGAGTGAGGGGGAGAGAAGTAGACTTGTGACTAGATCTGGGCGCCCCGGTAGCAGGGTGGTTAAGTGTGCGGGATCTGAAGTCTGACAGATGCGGGCACAAATCCTGGTTCTGTCACTCACTTTCGAGCCGTGTGACCTCAGTCTCCTCAGCTGGTAAAAGGAGATCTGAACCGACCTCAATGGGCTGTTGTAAGGACTGAATGGCCAAGGCTTGCAGCGCCGAGCACCAGCGGGTCTTATTGTTCCCGCCTCCCTCCTGGAGGGCATCCCTGGCTCTGCACTTACGCAGCTGCCTCGCGGTCTTCGGAGGGTGGGCTCAGGAAGGAGACACGGAGCCCGGACTCGGGCCTCCAAAGCCGGCCGTCAAAAGATCGTCTCGCCTACACAGGCGCCCGTGCGAACACGGCCCCCCTCTACAGCGCCAGCGCTCCAGGCGCACAGCACAATCTGGGGACCAGGGACTCTGGGTGCAATAGCCCCGCTTCACCTGGAGCCACCATCCAAGCCCGCCGCCTCCTGGAGTCCGGCCCCACTCACCTGCCTCTCTACCAGCTCCGTGCCGCTGCTCTAGCAGCCGCCGGTCCCGCTTTCACAGCCTCCCGCTCTGGTCTCCCGAGCCGTGGGGGCGGGGAGGCTCACCCGGAAGCAGCTCCCCCACGGGTGCAGGCCCCGCCCCCGAGGGCATTCTCCAAGCGCTGGTCAGCTTGGCTGCGGCCAGGGTCTGGCAGTGTCTGTCTGATTAGAGGCCTGGCCAATCAAGTGTGCAGAGGGGCTGGAGAGACCCTACGTGGGGGCGCAGGAATCGCGCGGGAGGGGACCTTGCCTGTGAACCTGTCTGGGGCTGGTACAGTCGGAGGTTTGCCCCTGGGTTCACTTTACAGTTCTCTTCCCAGCCCCCAGCAAACTGGGCGCCGGTTCATTTGCTGAAAGAACAATTGGATGTCGAGGCCGTTAGAACAACATCCCCGTGCCTCACACGATAGCTAAGTCCCTTTTGGCGGACTGAACATTTTAAAGTGGTTGAGTTCAGCACCAGACTGTCTTCCATGTTTTCACACAAGATCGATTCCAGCGAAATTAATTACCCAAGGCCTACTCTGCGTGGGAATTAAAAAAAAAATCTCTCCAAGTTTGACAGGACCTGACTATGATGTGTTCAGTGAGACCAAAGGTCTGAGGGGGCTTGGGGCAGAGTTATTTGTCGGCATGAGAGGGAGGGATCTGGTGAGGTTAACGGGGCCAGAAATGAGACAAAGCAAGATTGGTGGTTTCCAGGGCCTGGGTGGCCCAGGCAAGGGGAGTAACTGCTACATGAAGCACATGGGTCATTTAAAATGAGTAATTTTATGTTCTGTGAATTTCATCTCAATTTGCAAGGCCAGGCCAGCTACATAATTCAAGGCCAGTCTAGATTACATAGCAAAACCCTGTCTCAGAAAAACAAAAATAATCAAAAAACAAAAACAAAAAAATAAGACCAAATGACACTGAGACACAATCTCAGGTCTCATAAGTTTGTGGTAAGATCCTCACCAAGCATTTCTCTCTAAAGAGCCTTAATTTCCCATTGGTAAAAACAGGGGGCCAGACCTGAAAAGGAGTTTTTTGTGGGTTTTTTGGTACCGGGGATCGAAACGTCGGCGAAACCACTGAGCTAAATCCCCTACCCCTGAAAAGTAGTTTTTGAATGGGTTGACAGAACACTGCTAAATATTCCAGATCCACATCACAATCTCTGGGCATACAGGGCCATGCTTCAGAAAATATCGAAAGCATTAGCCTGGCTGGGGAAAACTGATGGATGATCTCAAAGATTATACCCAGCTGCTAAAATTCTGTAGTTTTGAGCAAGACATAATGGCACACATCTATAATACCAACAGTTGGGAGGCTGAGGCAAGAGGATTGCTGCAAGTTTGAGACCAGAGTGGGCTACATATAGTGAGTTCAAGACCAGTGTGGGATACATAGCAAGACCCTGTCTCAAACACCCAAAAAACCCAACAAAAAATAGTACTTTTAAATTATAGTCACCTCCCTGAGGAAATGTATTTTTCTTTTTCTTTTCTTTTTTACAGAATTGTGGATTGGACCCAGGGCCTTTGCACTGACCTATGAGGTATGATCAGTGTGTATTTAAATAGAAAAGAAATTATTACAGCAAAGACACATTGCCATTAATTCCCCTTGCTTCTAATGGAGTCACTCTGTCATTCTTGCCACTTTCCGCAGCAGTTCTGGAAGTCCTTTTATTGACTGACTTTAATTGCCTGGTCGTGCCTGCCTTGATGCCTTGATGTCAAAAAATTTACCTTTTATGGTCATTTTGACTTTGAGCAAGAGCCAGAAGTCACACAGGGTCATATCCGGTGAACAAGGTGGATAAGGACACTGTAATATTTTTAGAAGCTTGATTTTCCATTGGATGGCATCCACAGCATCATTCACTGTAGTTCTGATCACACACTCACCAAAGAGAACTTGCAGAACTGCTTCAGAAAGTAGCAAGAATGATGGGTATATCTGAAGCAAGGGGGAATATTTTAAGGGGAATTAATGGCAATGTGTCTGTTACTGTAATATTTTAAACGTTCACTGTATTTTTGGTCACCCCTTGTACATCTTCAGCCATTTTTATTTTTGAGGCACAATTTTGCTAAATTGCCAAGGCTGGGCTCAAATGTACAATCCTATAGACTTCTGGGATTACAGGTGTGTACTACCATACCCAATAGGAAACATCTTTTTTCTTAGGAAGTTACATTTTGGGCATTAATAGGGTAAGATGAACTCAAATCATAAAGAAGGTAATTTTTTTGGGATCCATTCTTTTTTGTTTTTTTGCTACCGGGGATCAAACTCAGGTCCTTGCATTTGTGCAGTGGGCGGTAAAACCACTGAGCTAAATCCCCGGCCCCTTGTTTTGTTTTTTGAGACAGGGTCTTGCTGTGCAGTTCAAGCTGGCTTTGAACTAGAAGTGATCCTCCTGCCTCAGCCTCCCGAGTACTGGGATTACAGGTGTGCCCTACCATGCCTGGCTTTTTTTGGATCCATTCTCCATTGGAATGTATAGTCTTATTTTGGAAAGTAGATTAAAATGGATGATAGGATGAGCCTTCCTTTGAAGGTTTTAAATAACAAGGTTAAGTATGGATTGGATTTCACAAGCAACAGGGAGGGACTGTAATACAGCTGTGTTCCAGGAAGATCCACTTGGCAAGCAGAACACAGGCGTAGCTAGGGGAAGTAGAGATGAGGCAGGAAACTGAGCTCAAAGGAAGCCACAGGAGTTCAGAAGGGCCTTGAGGACTTAGCCTACAGTGGTGCTCTTGGGAATTAAGAAAGGATGTTCCTGCTGTGGAGAAGGAAAAAACCATTAGATCAAGTGACCAGTGGGCTTGTATCTTTGTGAAATGTCACTTCTAAGTTTGATTTGAAGAAGCTATATAGACAGAAGGTAATATATAGTTGTGCTTAAGTGATAATGGAAGTAATAGAAGTACTGCTTCAGTGGGTTTACGAATTAATACTTAAAAGCAATGAGAACAACGCCATCACAGGACAGGCTCATTAAATGAAGGTGTGGACAATCTAGTACTACAGGCACCCAGAAGGCCAACCAGTCTTGCTGTGGTTGAATAGCAGCATCTGCTGGTCATTCAAGGTGATGCAGGATCCCATGTTTACAAAGGTCTGGCCCAGGCCACACCCCAAATACTGTGCAGGGCATTGATCAGTGGGTTCTCTCCAAAAGCATACTCTTTATCACTGCATAATTATGAGTCATCACTTTAAACAAGAAATGTTCTTTATTTGTACAAAGCACTATAATCTCAACAGTGGTCAGTCATTTATGAACAAACTTTTCATTGTATTCATTTAACCAGTTAACAGTGTCAAACTACACTGTACCACCTGTCAAATTCCAAGTGCTCCACTGAGACAAACAGGTGCCTGGAACACTGAACGGAAAGAGAAAAAGGATAGGAAAAGCCAACAGACACTTTAGAAGCAGTTCAAGGGAATGGTTGGGCTAGGGGGTTAGATTCTTGAGCGCCATCAGATCTTTCTCAATATCCAGAGGAGTTTCACAAAATCATTTTTAAGATATGGATTAAGGAACCAGGAACCTGCACTTTGGGACATTAAGTAGGTTCTCAGTTGCTAGACTTGCAGATGAAGTGAATTAAAGGGGGAGAGAGAGTGGGAATGGGAAGGAGAGGCAGAAAGAAATACAAAGCAAGAAGAGGGAACAAGTTGTGCTTAGACAAAGTGAAGCCTGGAAATTGACAGGAAAAAAACGAAAATCCATAGCCACAAGTCTGGGGAATGGACATAACAAGAGAAAGCCTGAGATTTTACACCTTCCAGGAGGTGACAAATCCTAAAGGTGTACAATGGCAGGGGTGAGATAACCTAAGGTCAAGCCGTCTGTTTTGTAAAACACCCTTGTTCCTCAACTTTCAATCTACATTGCTAATTTAAGAGCATACTGTGCCCAGAGCAGTCACCCAGCAGGTTAGATGCCTAAAGGCAATACAGAAGGGCCACAAGCCAAGAAGGTTTACAGAAACCAGAACTTAATTAATGCTACTGTCAAGTGAAGAAAGCATAAAATGGATTATCTTTAAAAAAAAAACAAAACAGTTCTGAGGGAATGCTGAGCTGCATACCTGGCCTCTTTTATCTTTTTTGGGGGGTGACAAGGTCTCATTGAGTTGCCCAAGTTGGGCTCAAAACTTGCAATTCTCCTGTCTCAGCCTTCTAAGTAGCTGGGATTACAGGCATGTAACACCATGCCCACCCCATTCTGACCATTCTCAGTGAGCTACTGTAAATCAAATATGGCTAACCATGATCAAAGCCCTAATTTTTCCTGAGCCTTCACTGCCTCTGTGATCTGGGAACACAGCAGGCAGCATGGAAGTTATTACTACTTTTTTGGAAGGGCAGGAAGACAGGAGCAAAAAAACTACATAACCATACACATAAGTAAACAAGATAAATCGCTTATTTAATTAGCTGTTCAGAATCCCTCTTGCCAAAAAGTAATAACCTTCAGCCTGATTAAACAAAAGAAGATTCTGCTACTCAGATGCTCTGAGTTGGTGAAACGCTGGTTTGATGATAATTATAGTCAGTTTTTATTGTGATCTTCCCAGGCACTTGTGCCTAAGACTACTTTGCCCAGCAGGGAAAAGCTTCACATAAACATGTACCATGTTTCAGAGTGGTAGCTCCCACAGTGCCAGTCTTCCCACCCTGTTAGTTGTCTACTTCATCCTCTTCATTCTGTTCTTCTTCTATCCTCTCTTCATCTTCATCGTTATCCTCATCTCTGCTCCTGTCTTGCTCTTCTGAATCTGTTTTTTTGTCTTTGTCCTTCTTCTTTTGTTCTGAAGCTTCTTTCTTGCCCTTCTGCTCCCGCCTATATGCTGTAAGGAAGGAGGGGGTTAGGAGGCAGGGCTGGAAGGGGGCACCAGACAACGCAGCAGCTAACTCCACTGTATAATTGGAAAAGCTGAGGCACAGAAGTAAGAGATCCGATGTGGGGCAAACTGAACTGGGTCGAGTCACAGCCAATAGTGGCTTCATGGACTTAAAAGATTCAAAGTGTAAAGTCTCAAGGCCGGATGAACAGGGATGACCGTCTTCTACATAGAAAACTGGAGGGACTGTTACCTTCCAGAGCTTCTTTTAATGGGGTAATGAACCGCTGGAACTCCATCTCTTCCATGGCTGAGAGCACATCACTGGCATTGAGTGTCTTGCGCTTCCCTTTCATCGCGAAGTTGTTGGCACTGAAAAAATAAGAGCAAAAGCCATTAGGGTTGTTAGACCCCCTTTTGCCTTGTGGTATTGGTGAGAAAAAATCATCTAAAGGTGGAGTGGGAAAGCCTACTGTCTTACATGCATAGCTTTTTGTCTTCTGTAGAACAAAAAGGCTGGGGCAGAGTTATTCTGTTGTTTTAATCTGTCTTACAACTTGTTAGAAGGGGAGAAAGGCTGTGAGTCTCTCCCCACTGATAGGACACAATTATTGGGGTCTGTGGGCTCCAGACCACGAACCCCGAGCCAAGGGGTTCCTCTGCGCCTCCCTTACTCCATTGCCGCGCTCACCAGGATGTGGCGTACAGCACAAAGACGCTAGCAGCGCGGGAGATGGCGCTCCGGGCCTCCTTGGAGATGTTGACACCATCCGGGAGCTGTGAGGAGAACTGGGATGTGGAAAGCTGCAGGCCCAGGACCCTCTTCCCTCCTGCCCTCTCGTCCACCCCCGGCCACCCGCCTGCCGGGGCAGCTCACTGCCTCTTTGATGATCCTGGTGATGACGGCATTGGGCAGGTTTAGGTCCTCGGGCCTCTCCGCCATTGCCGCCTAAGGGGCCTAAGGCTGCTCTGCCACAGGCCTTCTCTTCAGGATGCTACCTCGTCCAGACTTCCCGCGTCGCTACGATCTGACCCTCTGAGGCACCCGTCCTGCCCCACGTTGCCCACACTGTGTCCCACAGTGCCCCGCGCGTCATAGCCTTCTTCTTGTACCCAGCCCCGCCTCCTCAAGTCGCCGGTGAGTCTAAACTTTCCTTGGTGCAATGGTTTTGGCCCGCCGGGGCTTCCGCCCGGTCCCACTGTGCCCCTACTTTCCTCCTTATGTTCGTTTCTCTGCTTTACGCCATTACTACGTCTGGCGTTTTCTCACCAAATGAAGTATGACTCACTGAGGCTTCCGTCTGTTTCCCAGTTGCGCCACTGCTTGGAGACGGCGCGGTACAGCGGCTCGCGGCTCTCGGGGAAGTAAAGGAGTGGACTAAATTAGTTGGGCGTGGCGTGGCGGGGCGGGGGCGGGGCCCCTTCGAACGAGAGGTGGGGCTCACGTCCACCGGGCGCTGAGAGAGGTAAAATTACCAGCTTGGCTCCGAACCCTAGCGGTTTTCAATCCGTGCTGTTTCTGCGGTCCTGTTAGGTTGGCGTCTTCCACCTTTGTTTTGATTTTTTCCTTGTCCAAAATGCAAGGAATTTTTTTCTACTCTGGTGAATTCAATGTTCATATCTTTTCTCCCCTCATAACTTTATAATAATGGTATTTAAAGATGAGCGTTACCGAGGTTTTTGTTTTTGTTTTCTAGCGCGAATCATTTTGCTAACAGCGCTAATGCTGACATTGTCAAGATGTGCCTGATAAGACCTCGGGGCCCTTTTCGGGCTGGGTAGGTAACTAAAGGGCGAGAAGCAGCTGTTTTGTAAGGAAATGCAGCACCACATTCGCATTCAGAAACAACCCCTGTTAAAGCTGTATTTATAGTTCATTATATTTCTTTCCCTGTGGAAATCATTGTTAAGGTTTTGCAGTGGCGTTTTAAGTAGTATTTTTTGTTTGTTTTGGAGACAGGTTCTCACTGTGTAGGTTAGACTGGCCTTGAACTATTATGTAGCCCAGGCTTGCCTCAAACTCGCAGCGATCCTCATGCTTTAGCCTCCAGAGCGCTGGTATTATGGTGTGAGCCACCATGCCGAGGTTTACACTGTATTATTTTTATATTACATATGTAGAAATTCTCATTCCCGAGGAGCACTAATGCTGCTTTTTTTCCTTGAGACATGTTTTAAGACTCATTTTTTTCTACTGTGGATGGAAACATGGTTACAGAGAAATAGTTTCCTGTTAGAAAAACAACAGGACAGCCAGGTTTGGTGTTACACACCTGTAATTCTACCATTGGAGAGGCTGACACGGGAGGATCGCTGGGAGTTTGAGGCCCGCCTGGGCTACATAGTGAGTTCAAGGCCAGCCTGAACTGTATAGTGAAACCCTATCTCAAAAACACGAACAGAAAAACCCACAACAGGGCAAATATGGTAAATGGCAGCTGAAACTGCTAAAGTCAGAGACTGTTGCTTCTGGTGGGAGAACTTTGCACTTGGATAGAACAGGCCTAGTTTAAAGACATCAGAAGCTGCTCAGCTTCAGCAAGTTGCTTTGTCATTGAAACTGAGCCCAGGGTTGTCAGACATTTAGATCTCTATAAGAGGAGCCAGAAATTTGGAGTTTTGAAATTCTGGCTTAAAGTGCTGGCCAAACTGAACAAGTCAGGTAAGATGCAATCCTATGCCAATAGTTTGCTATCTTTGATCTAAATTAAAAGAGCAGGGAGTTTTAGCTGGTGGCACAAGCCTGTAATCCCAGGACTTCTTGAGGCTGAAGCAAGAAGATCACAAGTTCAAACCCAGCCTGGTCAATTTACAATTTAGCAAGACCCTGACTTAAAATAAAAGGCCTGGGATATAGTTCAGTGCAAAGACCCTGGTTTCAATCCCCAGTAGCATACCACACACACACACACACACACACACAAACAAACACACAAACTAAGATTGCTTGAGGCTGTTCTTCAGGCCCCAAACAGGTCCTCTCACACATAGTATTTGGTAGTCAATAAAGGTGTTTCATAGAAGAAAAAAAGAAATGGACATTGTTCCTAAAAGTTCATAGATGAAAAAAGAAATGGACAGTGTTCCTAAAAGTTATTAGAAGCCAGGTCTCTTGGTGCATGCCTGTAATCTCTGCACCCTAGGAGGCTGAGGCAGGAGGACTACAAATTCAAGTCCAGCCTGGGCAGTTTATTGACTTCGTGAGATCCTGTCTCAAAATAAAAAATAAATTTTTGTAAGGACTGAGAATGCAGCTTAGTGTGAATGCCCTGGATTCAATCCCCAGTAATATAGTAGTGGTGGTAGTAGGGTTAGAGAGAAGGTGGTAGTGATCATCTAAAACATCTTTAGAGAGGGGAAGATAATATTTATTGAGTACCTGTTATATATAAAAGTACCTTCTTCCCCTTAATAAGGCAAGAGACAGAGAGAGGGGAAGTACTGTAATGTGGCCAAGGCCATATAGGTGATAAATGAAAAGCTTAATGGTCTCTGGAACAGCTGCAAGTCTACTGATGTGGGGTTTGAACAAATCCATTGATTGCTGGTGGCTGTTTTATCTGTCTTCATAAGAATTATAGCATATTGAAAAAACGAAGTCTGTCTTCTAAAGGTTTGAGCTACCTAAAGCACTTCTGTGACGTGACTTAATTGGTTGTAATTTGATAAAGCTTTTCAGAGATTACTCCCTAATGATTAATGAATGGGAAAAAGAAAGGATGCCAATATTTATTTTGAACTATATGCCAGACCTTTTAATATCCATTAACTAATTTTTATATTGACTATGAAACAGGCTTATGCTCATTGTACATATAAGGACAATGAAACTTGGTTTATTTAAATCCCAGGTCATTCAGCTATTAAGTGGCCAATTAGGAGACCTGAAATCATTTTGCTTTCAGTCTTGCTATCTAACCTCATGGTGAGATGTTTTCATACTTACTTAGGCAATCAAGCTTTACTTACTTCTTAATTATCTTGTGTCCACCTTGTACCTATATAGGTTCAATAGAAATATTTTAAGATTTGAGTCCAAATTAAGGTCTGGACTGGATGGGTAATGTATAATTATACTCCCTAATTATGTGGCTATTGATTCTCAGAAAGCTGCAGGATTGGCCTTTGTCCTAAACTATTGGTAGCCATGCACTTGCCAGATGACAGCCAGTGGGATGAAGCCATCTGTGACTTGGCTGTTTGTCCGCATCCACAATGCTGGGCAGCTGTCCGTCGAATTGAAAGGGGCCATCCTCGAATCCTGAGCTCACCCTGCAAAACTCCCTTGGATGCTGAAGGTGAATTAGCTAGCTTCTGTCTTCTTTCTTAGGAGGTCCTTAAACTGTGTCTGTATGGCTCCCTTTCTCTAGGCAACAAGTTACATGTTTTCTTCTGATCTGTTTTCTCAGATAAACACCCAGTACTCACTATTGTCAACATCTCAGATTCCTGCTTCCAGGCCAAGAAACTTGCTCATCAACAATCACCAGAATTTGCCTTCACTAAAGTTCATTCTTTATTGTCTCGAGGTTCAAAGCTTGCCTCCAAATTTCAAGGTAGGTAAATTATCATGGTATCTTTCTTTAGTAGATTGTTGTCTCAGAATTCTAGGTTATGATTTCCCTTGTGACTTTGAAAACATGTATTAAAAAGAAAGTACTAAAAAAAAAAAAAAGAGAGTACTAATTCAGTTAAAGAAGTGATGAATAGATGTAGAGAAACAGAGCATTCCTGCCTGCTGTGTTCTAGGAGTTGATAATTTGGGGCTGTTTTAGTTTGCTAGGACTGCTGGAACAAAATACCAGAGATTTGGTGGCTTAAAACAATGAACTTCATTTTCCCACAATTCTGGAGGCTAGAAGTATGAGATCAAGTTGTCTGCAGGGTTGTTTTGATTTGAGCCCTCTCCTTGGCTTGTAGATACCTGTTATCTCCTTGTGTCTTCACATAATCTTCCCTTTGTGCATGTCCGTGACCCAATCTCATTTTATAAGCGTGCCAGTTATATTGGATTAGGGCCCAATCCTATGACCTCATTTTACCTTAATTATCTTTTTAAAGTCCCTCTCTCCAAATACTATCAAGTTTTCAGGAATTTAACAGATGAATGTTGGGGGAAGGAGACACAAGTCAGCCCCTACCAGGGGTATCTTATCACTTTCTGTAGGTCATCAGAAAACTGTCCACACATGCCATCCTTCTTATCTTTTATTTTCAGGTATGAAACTGTTTGTAAGCTCCCAGAGGCAGAAACAGTGGCTTTTCTTTTTGAATTTCCTAGGAAGTCAAGGCGCCGATCTTGCGGATACATGAAACTGTGGGGCAACTATCTCTAAAAAACTGAGACTTAAAATTTGGACCCTATTGCCTAGAATTCAAGTGGTAATAGTGATCCTTGGAATGGTTTATTTACTTCTGTTCCATGTAAGCAGTTCCTGTGGATTTTTCTTACCTAAAGATAGCATAGGAAAGAGTAGGACTACTTTCAGGGGTCTCTAGGACTTGAGTCCTGGGGAAATGGCAGTATCTTACAGCGAGGATCTGGTGTGCTTCACATTCATTTGCACACACGCACAACACACTTCCACCCCATCATGCCCTGGTGTGTAGTGTGCTGAGGGCTACCTCATCTAGTCAGCTCCTGCTTCCATGCCTTCTCTTTTAGTCTTCTTACTTTCTTACTTCATGTGTGGTTTTTGCAATGACTGCCTTTTTTTTTGCAGTGCTGGTGACTGAACCCAGGGCATCTCCCATGCTAGGCAAGTGCTCTACCACTCTACCATTATGGTACATCACCAGCCCTGCAGTGACTTACGAACTGCTCTTGCTGCCCTTTCCCCTCTAAACAGTCTGACAAATGATCAACTAATTATGCTTCAACAAATACTGTTTTGCTCATCTCCTTGCATAGAATGCCTCTTCCTTTACTAGAGAATAGTTCCATGCCTGCTCATTCTGGAGTTGTGGCCTCTTTACTACCTGACTCCTCTCTAGTCATAGAATCTTCTCATCTCTGATGCCAACTTTTCCTCTGAGCCAGACTTTTTTCTGATTGTTCTTTTCTGTCTCTGACATTTTCTCAGCCTTAAAGACCCTCTCACCTCTGCTCTGCTTCATTAAGTCCTTGGCATGGCCTATATGGCCATGTGAGAGCCTGCCTTCCCAGTGGATCTCATCTTGCATTTCTCCTATCCTTGTTCGATAGGTTCCAGCCATACCACTCTCTGTATTCCACATGTAGTTCTACTTCATGAATAGAGATCGTAGAACTACTCTTTCCTCTGAATGGTTTCCTCTAGATTAGAGCTTTCAACTCTGCACTATTAGCATTTTGAGTCATTCATTCTTTGTTGTGGGCACTGTCCAGTGCAGCGTTGGATGTTTCACTGCATCCTTGGAATGCAAGCAGTATCTCACCTGCAGTTGGGACAACCACCAAAATGCCTCCAGACATTTCCAGATGTCCCCTAGAGGCAAAATAAAAGTTGATTTTGCCTAGAGATCTTCTGTGACCACCCTGTATGAAATTTCCCTACACCTCTGCCATCATCCAACCTTGCTTCTTTTTTCTTAATTCTTTTCTGAAGTGTTCCTTGATTTGCTTGCCTCCCTTTACTGGAATGTCAGTTCTGAGAGCAGGAACCATGGTTTTTTTGTTGTTGTTGTTGTTCACTGCTGTGTCTCTTGTGTCTTCGGTAGTGTGTGGCATAAAATAGAAGCTCACTAAATATTGGTGAATGGATGAATATGTTCTCATCTGTGTCAGGGTTGAGTTTTCTCACTTACTGCTGGCCCTGGGTGCTCACTCTTCCAAACTAACCTAGCACTCATTGTCCCTAGTAGGCTTATGGATATTTTTATGCCTGTGTCCTGTTTGCTCAACTGGATTTTAAAGCCCTTAGAAGGCGAGAGTCATGACATGATATCATTTGTTTAATTGCAACTTGTGACTTGGTGAGACCCTGTCTCAAAAAAAAAAAAGGGCTGGGTAGAGAGATAGCTCAGTGTGAAGGTCCTGGGTTCAATGCCAGTACTACAAAAAAAAAACCCCAAACAACCAAACAACAACAACCCCCGCCCCCCAACAACAAAACAAGACAAAAAACCTAAACTCAAAACCCCACATTTATAAACCTGTGTCCTATTATCTTGTGTAGGATACAGCCTTCATCCTTGAGGGACTTTCAGCTTAGTTGGGGAGGCAAAGAAGTCAGCAGGCAGGGACATTTAGGATAACGAGTGTCATGAGTGGACTGGTGCCTGGGTGTGTGAAAGCACCAGAAAAGGTTCCTAACCAGGGTGCTGTACACATGTGACCTAGCCCAGAAGTTGAGCAGTCTAGTGAAGTGAGGATTGCAGGTGGGATGTGGGCTAGAAGACGGTTCTAAATTATACGGATAGCATGTTCAAAGGCCTGGAGGGTGAGAGAAAATTCTTTAGGTATAGTATCAGGAAGATAGTTTGTTGTGTTTGAAATGTGGAACAGGAATGGAAAAGTGATCAGAGATGAAGCTAGGAAGTAAAAAATACAGACCTTTGCTATTTATTTTGTAGAAATTGGTGTCTACATTATGCAGAACTTCATAAATCAGGTTGAGAGTTGAGTCTTTATCTCATATCTCTTGGTATTATTTAATAATACTTTTTTTGTTTTGTTTTGTTTTTCTGAGACAGGGTCTCACAATGTAGTCTAGGCCATTATTGAACTTGCTATGTAGCTAGACTGGCCTTGAACTTGGCAACCCTCCTGCCTTAGCTTCCCAGAGTGCTGGAATTATAGGCATGCACTATCACACTGGAGCTTCTTTTTTTTTTTTTTAAATTGGGGTGAATATACATAACAAAACTTGACCATTTTAACTATTTTTAAGTGTAGAATTCACAGTGTTGTGCAACCATGACCTCTACCTATTTCCAGAACCTTTTCTTTATCTCAAACAGAAACTGAATTCATTCAACAATAGCTCTATATTACCTTTTCTTCCCTGGTAATCTCTATTTTCTGTCTCATTGAATTTGTCTATTCTAGGTAACTCATGTAAGTGGACTCATACAAAATACAAAATCTGTCCTTTTTGTCTCTGGCTTGTATCACTTGATATAATATTTTCAAGTTTCATCTAAGTTGTAGCATGTATCAGAATTTCATTACTTTTTTGGGGGGGGAGGTACTGGGGATTGAATTTGGGACCTTGTGCTTGCCAGGCAGGCGCCGGAACCACTGAGCTAAATCCCTGGCCCAGAATTTCATTACTTTTTAAAGGTAAATAATATTCTATTGTGTGTACATGTCACATTTTATTTATTTAGCATGGTTTGAACATTTCCATCAATATTGATTGATGAATTGATTGTACTGAGGATTGAGTGCAGGTCCTTCCCACTGAGCTCTGTTCTCATCCCTTTTCTAAATTTTTGATTTTGAGACAAGGTCTTGCTAAGTTGCTGAATCGACCAGGGTTTAGGTTGAACTTGTGATCCTCCCGCCTCAGCCTTCTAGAGTGGTGCCAGTATGCACCCAACTGCATCAGCTTTTATTGATGATGTACCTATCTTTAGCTCCAGACAGAGGCATAGGCTATGAATGTAGTTTGGTGCAATAGCTATGAAATGTTTGCAGCATGTGATGTCTATTTAGGAGCCCCTACATTCATTTGGTTAGTACCAAGCCCAATGTTTTCGGTGGACAGGTAGAAGAGTTTTTCTCATAGCACTTATTCTATCATCCCAATGTCTTTTGTGTCTCTGTTTCATGTTTACATATCTTGGTTTTAGGTCTCAGAAGGATTTACCTGACAAAAGTTTGATCACCTATACTAAGAGATCTCCCAAAGAAAGCCACAAAAAGGTACTTCCTCAGCATTTTCTCTTTACTAATGGGAATAAAATATTTGATCTTTAATGTTATTCTTCAAGATCACTATAATCAGAATAGTAGTGATGATAAACTGGATGTGGTGGCACATGCCTGTAATTCCAGCACGCTGGGATCCTGAGTCAGGAGGATCGTAAGTTTGAGTCCAACCTGAGCAATTTAGCAACTTAGTGAGACCTTATCTCAAAATAAAAAATAAAAAAAGGGGCCAGGGATTTAGCTCAATGGTGCCCTGACTGGCAAGCACAAGGTCCTGAGTTCGATTCCTGTCCTGGGTAGGGGGAGCGGAGACTGAGGATGTAGCTTAGTGTGAAAGCCCTGGGTTCAGTACCCAATATGGTAAAAAAAAAATGCTAATAACTATCTAGTATTGGGTCCTTACTATATGCTAGGCTCTTTGCTAATGGCTTTACATGCTGTATTGTTTTCAGAAATCCCAGAGTTAAGTGGGATTGATTGTGGAAGTTTGGTATAGATGAGAATTTTCTTTATACTGCATAAAGCATGTTCAATTTCTAAGTAAACATTGCCACTTAATAGTCAGAGCACTTAGAATATGAGAATGTCAGACCTAAATGTGTCTAAAGGTCATCTAGCCCGATAACTTTCAATCTTTTAAAACTATGATACATGGAAATGAATAGATTTTATAACAAAAATTTTATGAAATAATCATTACTCTAACCATGGGGAGGTACTCTGAAATTTTCTGTCCTATTTTGTTTCATTCTGTTTCATTTTTAAACAATATGGGCTTGATTCACAAAATTGATTTTTATGACCTACGCATAATCACAGTTTCAGTTTGAAGAACATTATTATGGTCTATCTTGTGCATTTTACAGTTAGGGAAACAGAGGCTCAGATGGGAAGTAATTTGCTAATGTATATGAATAGTTAGAGGTAAATCAGTGCTAAATTAGAACTTTAGGAAGAAAAGCCTTCCTACTTACCTAAAGAGGGATTTACTGTTCCTTGGAGTCTGACTGAATGCCTTTTGTTCTTTTCACCCTGAACTGCTCTGTATCATGTAGGGGAGAATGTAAGGGACTAAGAGATAGTAGATGGGTTTGAATGGATGAATGAACAAAGTAGTTTACCTCCTTGGCCTCTTTTGAACAAGAAGGTTAGGTTAAAATATTACTATTTTAAATTTTATTTTAATTTTTGGCAGTACTGGGACTTGAACTCAGAGGTGCTCTACCACTGAGCTATATCTCCAACCCTTTGAAAAAGATTTTTTTTTTGTTAAATAATTTTGAGATGGGATCTTGCTAAGCTGCCCAGATTCTCCTGCCTCATCCTCCCCTAGTTATGAGATTTCAGGCATGTCCCACTGTGTCTTGCTTAAATTATTTTTAAATTATCGATTTTAGTAGATATATGTGAACATGATTCTAAATTCAAAAGCCATAAAACATTTACAATGAAAGAGTCTCCTTTATTCTCCCTAGTTCTTGTCACAGGGCCAACCTTATTTTTTTAATCTTTTTTCCCCCTTTTTAAATATCTTTTTAGGAATATGGACTAGATAATTTATAAAGTTCCCTTAAGCCCTACTGTCGTAGGGTCCTAAAGAGCTAAATATGAGAAGCATCAACACTTTAACTTTTATATAGGTGCCTATCATTATAGACAGACTGTAAATAAAAGTAGGGAACTTGATCCTGTCTCCACCCATTCTGTCCCTATTCTGAGTCCCAAAATGCTGACTGTATTATTGGTAGGGGATCTAAGTCTTTCAAGTAGAGCCAGCAGAATGAGTAGTGTTCCCCTAGGAAAGCCTCCAGGCACCCTTCTATGGGATGGGGTGGGGGTTGATAGGTTTTCCTCTAAGGTCACACGGAAGTGGGGAGATTATTTGTTTAAAGATGCTCATTCTTGCAGAGTACCTACCAGTGCCTAATGAAGTAAGTAGTCTGTTTCTTTGGGGAGAATATCATAAAGATGATTTGGGGATGGGAAATGTCTTTTTATCATCTTCTTAGCCACCAGGTTTTTTGGTTAGCATGATAATTGAGCCCTTAGTCTGGTACTGGTACTGGAACTAGTACTGGTAGCAGCCTGGCACCTAAACTATATGGAGGCTTTAAATTTTTCTTTTAGCTTTCAGTGTTGAATTTGAATGAGACACAACTTCCTTGCTCTGAAGATGTTAGACATATGGTTGTGATCTGGATCCCAGAAGAATCAGAAAAGAATATGTGGTGAGTGTCATGTCTAGAACTTGGGGAGTCTTTATCCTTATATTCTGTAAGTCCCTACAGGCCTTTTTTGTGATCTCCCTTTTAGCTACCTTACTGCAAGTAACAGAAGGATAAGCAGAGAAAGTGGTCCTAGTCTCTTGCTACTCCTTCTTACTACACTGGAATTATTTTTATTTATTTATTTTTTTGAGTCAGGGTCTCACTGTATAGCCCTGGCTGGCCTTGAACTCAGCCTCCTGAGTGCTGGGATTACAGGAATGTGTCATCATGTTTTCCTTTTGGTTTTTTGGTCTTGCCATATAGTCTAGGCTGGCCTTGAACTCTCCATGTACCCTAGACTGGCCTTATACTTGGAGTCCTCCTGCTTTAGCCTCCTGAGTGCTGGGTCTACATCCATGCACCATGGTGCCAAGTTTGGAATTCTATCTTTTTTTTGGTACTGGGGATCAAACTCAGGACCTTGCGTTTGCAAGGTGGCAGAACCATTGAGCTAAATCTCCGGCCCTGGAATTCTATCTTAATACACTTTGAGATTCATGCTATGGGACTTCTGTATATCAGATTGCACATGGCAGTAAATAGCATGTAAGGTAGGGCCCAATTTATTTGTGAAGTTTGATTAAAAATTACACTTTCTCTATTAGTTTTCCTTATTATCCCTCAGTAACAAGTGATAGAGCTCCCAGTAAAGCATATGAACCTCTGATTGCCATGGCCTGTGACAGTGGCATACAGTGAATAGCATAAAGTACTTGCGTACCAAGCAGGGCATGACAAAGATCAATTGGTGAAGGCCCAAAGCTTGCTAGTGTAGAAAACCATGGAGAAAGAATTTGGTTTCTCTTTTGTGATAATTGAGGCTTTCAGATTCTGGTTAAGTGATTTAATTTCTTTTTAGTTGGGCTTCTTGTTGAGGTAACCTCCTGATTTTCTTTTTCAACAAATGATCCTGTGAATGCATTTTTGTGTGCATATATATGGTATCAACAAGAAAACACAGATGACTTTATTTCCTTTCATGTAAAAGCAGCCCCAGAGTGGGTGGGCTGGGACTACTAAATCAGCTCTGTGAGATAATCAGAAACCCAAGCTCTTTCTAGCTTTCTGGGCCATCTTTCTAGCCCAAGGCTTCCATCCTCTAAGGTACTTCGCTGGTACTTTTAAGGTCTAGGTTGGCTGCCACAACTCCAGCTTTCATATCCACGTCCCAAGTGAGAAGGAGGAGAAGAGAACAGAGCAAAAAGTACTTCTTGAACACCTCCTGTGTGCTAAAGTGGTGAGGATTTAGGGAAGAACCAAGTAGATTTTGTCCCTGTCCTCCAAGAGTTGTATGCGAGAGTCACACATGACAAACATAACCACACTTAAGTATATAATTACTAGTTTATATTCACATGGTAAAAGAAAATTCCTAAATTGTTCCAGAGAATGTTGAGGAACCAAATTTAGATGGGAGGGTGAGGGGTCTTTTAGCACAGGTATCTGGGTGACACATACTGCTGGGCTCCCAACCGGCCATCTTTGAATACTAATGAGAGATATAGAAGTCTTCATGGTCATTATTCACATATATCCTTGCTGTTTTTGTTTAAGATGTCTGGGAATAAGTTGTGGTTATTCTTATTTCAAGCTTACCTGAGAAGACATCTCCTTTCCCCAGCCAATATGGGAAAAAGAAAAGAAAGAAATTAGCAGAGGTAAGTTCAATGTTTGTCCAAACCTTTATTATTACTCTGTAGGGTCTATTTTTGTTTTCTTTTTAGGTCTTCCCAAGTCTCAGCCCCTTCCTTTCTCTAAATGAAAACCCTTCCATAGGGATAATTACAAGTCTCTTCAGACTCCTTTCCCTATCTGTACCATGTAGGGAGGAGAAGGACACCTTGAAGAGATCCAGGAGGAACTGCTGGGTATCCAGGGGGACTTTTTGGTTAGTTAAAAACTAATCTCCAGGGCTGGGGATTTAGCTCAGTGGTTTTGCCGCCTGCTGCACAAGCACAAGGACCGGAGTTCGATTCCCTGGTACCAAAAAAACCTCCCCCAAATAAAACAAAACAAAAAACCCCCTAATCCCCAGGTGGCCATCATGGTGTGTGGTTATAATCTCAGCTATTCAGGAGGCAGAGGAAGGAGAATTACAAGTTCAAGACCAGCCTGGGCAGACCAGCCAGTCTCTTGGTGAGACTCTGCCTCAGAATAAAATGAAAAGGGCTGAGAATGTAGCTCAGCACTAGAGCATATGTCTAGGATGTACATACACACACACACACACACACACACACACACACACAAAGTAGAAGAGGAATAAGAGGAGGAGGAAGAAGAGGAAGAGGCAGAAGGAGAAAGAGAAAAGGAGAAGAAGAGAAGAAGAAGAACAACAACAACGGCAACAGCAACAACAACAGCAACAAAAACTACAGCAAACCTGAGGTTCCAACTCATTCAACCATTTATTTGAAAATATGATTTTGGATAAATCTCAGAGCTGAGTGCTATGTCCATGAGAGTAGTGTCTTGATCCATTTAATTCATTATGAAATCCCTATCCCTAGCTCTGTGCTTGGCATATAGATAGATTGAGTGAATAATGAATGACCTCTGGGAAAACAGTACAAACAAACAAAACCAAGTTAATCCCTGTATGATCTAAATACAATAAGGCTGGGATCCTGCGGGAGGTAGTCATGTGGAGGGAAGGAGGGAATGATGGAGTGGCTGTGGAAACAAGGAGTTGTACAGGTCAGGGTTGTGTTGGGGGGCTGGAATGTTAATGGGAAGAAATGAGCTCAAAGAGATTACTTGGGAGAGTTTGTTTCATTTTTTCTCTTCCGGAAAACGGAGTCATCTCTGGGTCTCCCTGAGAGTTCACAGAGACAGGGTTGAGAACCTCAGAGGTGATTGTGCCTCCGTCCTCCCCAGTAGTATATGCATCTGAGCAGTTAAGTTCAGAAATACCTGTCAGGGCCCAGGACAATGTGCTACTTCAGGATCTGCTGAAAGAGTGAGTATCATGGATGCTCATGGGAGAACCAGGGCTCCTGCTTTGCCCTGAAGCTGGGATGGGGCAAGCAATGTGCTCTTTCTGAGTAGGGCAGGGAAAACTGTCACTGTACTTGTTTACTGAATTCTTAGACTTATCAACAGGCAGGGGTGACAGTAATTACCACAGCCATTTACCCAGTACTTACCATCTGGCAGGCCCTCGGCTAAGCATATTACATGGACTCTCATTTAAACTCCTGCCAGTGGGTAAGCACTATTGTTTTTATAGATGAATTATGGATAAGTGGGAGGCAGAAGGGTATATGTGATTTGAAGTTTGAATTTTGTATTGAAACTTAACTGCTTTGTGAATTTTGGTAATTGTTTAGCCTCATTAAGCTTCATTTCCCTCATTTGGAAAGTGAGGATAATACTTGTCTTCTGAGTGTTGGAAGGATTCAGTGGTATAAAGCCTAACAGAATAAACACTTAATAAGTGCAGTTGTGGTTATCATAACTGCATCTGAAAGGTGTCCCCCAATGAGTACCTTTGGGGAGAGGCCATTCCAGACCCAAAGCAGAAATGTCTTCAGATTTGGAGCCTTTCTCATCTCTTTCTTCTCTCAGCAACAGCTGCTGCTGACTGGCTGTCTCTGTCCCCTTCAGGCTTTTGCCACAGGGAGAGAAAAACATGTCTTGTGTAGAGATGAAAATACAGTTGGGCAGGATGAAAAAGAGTCTTCCCCTGGAAAAGAACCGACATGACAGTGTGATATCTTCTAAGATGTTTCTAACTATACACTGCCTCACCCTACAAGTAAGAGCCAGGGTACTTTGGAGGAAGGGCCTTACATGAAAATCTAGCCCTTCTCTTCTCAAGGCTGGAAGAGTTGGCTTTTTTTCTTTCTTTCTCTTCTATCCCACCACTCTGGCCCCAGCCCCACAGAAGCCTGGGCTGTGTGTAGGTGAAAGAAAGCCAGTGTGGGGGGAAGGATGTGTGCAGAGCGGTGACTGGATTTCTTCTGCACTTCACTTCCCACACCTTTCCCTTCTTGCACACCCCTGCAAAACACTGGCTTCCTGATGTGCTTGCTGACTAGATGAATAAATGCATCTGGGGAAAGGGAAGGACCTACAGAAGAGCTTCTCTTCTTTCTCCTTCTGCTCTTCTTATCCTTCTCTTTCTCTTCCTCCTCCACCTCCTCTTCTTCCTCCTCCTTTTCTTCTTTTTCTTCCCCCTTTTTCCTTTCCAACCTCCCCCTCTTTTTTTTTTTTTTTTTTTTTCAGCAGAGACCTGTGTTGCGGTATCCAGAACATCTGAAGAAATTACATCATAGCCTGAAGAGAGAAGGTAGCTTTGCTGCTGCTGCTGCTGAATTTCTAGCCACCCACATTTCTCTTTCTTTAACTTGGTCCGGATTCTGTTGTTTGTGGCCACAGTCATATGGGGTCACCTGTAGAATGCAGGAAACTCTAATTTCAGGAAGCAGCCACCCAGCTTGGTCCTGACCCTTGAGGGAGTCACTGTAGTTGGGCAGGTCTCAGCAGGTAGCCCAGCAGGAGGTGGGGGGCTGTCACTGGGAAGAGGATCGACCTGGCTTTCTGGTCACCAGGTCACAGGAAGCAGCAGCAGTGGCGGCAGCCACAGGGGAAGAAGGAGAAAACCCCTACTAAGCAACAGGTAGAGTACTTCGAGGGAGCCCTGGGACTCCGCTGGGCTGGTTGAAGTGGGTGCAGCCTGAATGGGAAAGAATGCCTGAGAGGTGGGGTTCTCTTTGGTCTCTGGTTATAGAAGTTAAGTTCCTTTTCCTCTCCTTTTGCAAAAATGTTCTTCACTTCCAAAAGTCCCAACTCATTCCTCCTCTTCTGGATTTCAGGAGGCTAAAGAGAAAGCCAAGAGTGATCTGAAGATCCAGAATACTCCAAATAAACATTCAGCTGCAGTTGCATATAACCCTGTCTGTGGTAAGGACAGTCCTGTATGTGCATGGTTGAGTAATAAAATCCCAGGACATAGATAGCAGCAGGAAAAGTGAAATATGCCTTTTCCATTTTGAAACTTAGCCTGGTCAGGGACTCCGAATTAATTAGTTAATTAATATTTTTATTGCATTGAACCCAGGGCTTTTGCACTGAGTTACATCCCCAGGGGTTCTGACCTTCACATGGTAGGCAGAAGAATCAGGGCTGAGGCCCAGGACAGGAGGTGACTTGTACAAGGTTAACACTCCATCCAGGGTGACCACTACCACTCCCTGGACCTCCATTTTGGCTCCTTTTCCTGATGCCTCCGGTAGGAGCTGTTTTGCATGCATCACTGGGGTCACCTTGGATCCATGTCCTTAGAGCAGTAGCCTGTCCTCACAAGTGAGAAAGGCTTTACAGAAAAGGTGATTTTTAAATTGGATCTTAAATATGTGGGATTTTTTTCCAGTATGGAGAATTCCCAGGGATGGCAGTATCCTGTGCAGAGGCATCTTGGAGGAGCATGGCTGCTTGGAAGACTTTGAGCATTTCAGTGTGGCTGTTGCTATTTAAAGGAAAGTGGTAGACCAGGCCAAAGAGGTGGGTAGGGCCTCATGGACGCTGTGAAGGCCATTAGGCTTGAGTCTCCAGGTCAATGGTATTCCATGTTGGCTGCACACAAACAGACTGAGAAGTTTTAAAAACTCCTCTAACAGCCAGGTTGCATCTCAGATCTATTAGGTCAGAATTTCTGGTGTTTGGAACGAAGTCCTGCTGTATTTTTTTTTAAATCTTTTAAGACAGGGTCTTGCTATGTAGTTCAGGCTGGCCTTAAACTCACTATGTAGCCAGCTGACCTTTTACTCATGGTGATCCTCCTGAATGTTGGGATGACAGGCATGTGTCACCATGCTTAGTCTCATGCTGTGCTTTAAAGCTCTCCACTGCTTCCAGAATGAAGCTGAGGTAAGAGCCTTAGCTGGAAGGCAGCCAACAGAGTTGTTATCTTTTAGCATAATACCTGTGGTGACAGCTTGGAAGATGTTTATTTAGAGAAGGGAAGATTCAAAAAGGAAAGGACAAATGCATCTAGGGACTTGTTGGAGAAACAGCTGATGCAAAAGAAACAGAAAATTGGAACTTTTTTATTTTCATATTTTTAGAACCAATATGGGTATGTTGGGAATGGCACAAGAAGGTGAGTCACACTCTGGTAAACTGAAAGGTAGAGTTGTTTCTTTTTCTGCTGTTATGTGCAGTTACTTCTTATGTGGAGGAATCCTGGATCTTATAGTACAACCTTTATTTTCATATCTAATTTTGTAATACATGTAGTTACAGCCCCAGGTGACCAGGATCACACACAACTCAGAAGGCCTCACACAATGTATACATGTATTGAAAGTTCACATGGTATCTCATAAATAGGTACACTACTTATGTGTCAGTTAAGAAAACAAAGAACCACTATTACTGAGATATGAAGTGCCAAAAAGAAGAGTACTGACTTGACTTTGTGGTCACTAGGTCACAGCCCTTTTTCTGGTCAGGAAAGTGACATGAAGCAGCAGCAGCACCAGATGAATATAGAAGGGGCCACCTTGAAACACATGAATGACAGGGCTTCTGCCAAGGCCTAGTTGCACTATTTCTTACTGTGTAACAATCCACACCAAAGCTCAAGTCACAGTGATTCATTATTTCTCATGAATCTAGTCATCCTGTTCTTGTTTGAGGTCACTTTGCAGCTGGGCAGAGGTGTTGGCCACATTGGCCAAGTTCTCTTCCATAAGGCCTTTCCTTGTGGTTTGTTTGAACCTTTTGACAGCATAGTAATCACTCAAGTGGCTAAAACAGTATCACCTTTTACTGGTCAAACAAGCCACAAGTCTAGCTCCAATTCTTAGAGGTGGAGAGAGACTGTATCTCTTGATGGGAGGAATTGCATGCGTATCTAGGAACAGGAGGAGTTGTTGGCAGCCGTCTGTAGAGGTGGTCTGCCCTGAGTTGACTGCTGGGAGTGGGAAAAATATTAGTTCTGGCTTCATCTGGATAGTCTGGAGGGCAGAAAATGTGTAATAAAAGTGATGTTAATTTCTCCAAGAAAGCATCTTAGAAAAAATGTTTTTATTTTCCTAATGTCTTGATTCATTTTTTTTCTCATACTTACTCCAATACATTTTAGGTATCCATAGAGAGATCAAGAAAAGACCACTTTGACAAGTCCCTGGATTTCTTCCCTAATATGAAAAGTAAGTTATTAGGGTGGAGGACCCTTAGTACTGAACCTGTGTTAACCAGGGTGGGTTTTTCCTGGCGGACACAGTCCTCATCCTTCACGGGGGTCCTAAAGATAGCCCAGCCTTTCCTTTTCTGTACTCCACTTGTCACAGTTATTTGGGAGAAGCCTACAGGTGAAATTAATGGCTGGGTTTTCTTTTAGGTTCTAAAATGTCTAAGAAGGAACTCCCTTGCAAGGACCTTAGTGCCTCAGTGGAGATGGTACTGGAAGCCCCAATTGCCAACCAAGAGAAAATCCCTGGAGACCTTTCAGAAAGTATGGCTAAACCAAGCTGGAAGCCTGAGCTCAAACCACTGAGGATTCTTCAGGCCACTGATGTTGAGGAGGAGGAGAACCAATCCAGTAGGTCAGAGAGTGAGGATTCTTTGGACACAGACTGAAGGTGTCACCCGGGGCAGCCTTCACCAGAGCATGATGCTTGGCATCCCGAGGACAATGACCTTTGACATAAGGCAGAAAAGAAAGGACACTTCTGCTCCCCCAAGTCTCCACTGGGACCTAAATTTAGAACTCCTGCTTTTTTATTCTGCTTTTACTAGCCTCTAAAATAAGTAAGGGAGAAAAAGCTCTACTCTTTCTCAGCTTAAGTGACTTCTCTTCCATTAGGGTCAGAATAAGTTTAATGATTAAACACAACCACTTCTCAATTAAAAGATACTCTGTGTTTTTGGGAGGAGGGGAGAGATGTTTCTTAGCATTTGTTTTTGGGGTCACTTTTATCTCTTCTCTGAAGCTCTGAAAGGTTTTCAGTTGTACAGAGCTGAATTTGGCCTGTGGGAGCCTCCATGGTATTTCTAGATTTTTCTGTTAATTTCCTTTCTTTAGGAGATGGAGTCCATATCATTATTAAATAATATTCATTGTGTCCTTGTATATGTGGTACTGGACTCGTTGATCTGGAAAAGCTTAGCAATGTAGTTCTAAGGAATTGAGTTTTCTGGGAAGTTTTAATGATGCTCAGATTGAAAATTCCAGAGTCTTAGAAGCTCTCTACTTTGCTTTTTGGAAGACTCCCCCAACCCCCACATTTCAGTCTTAAAAAAGTTAAACCAGGTGTGGTGGCACATGCCTATAATTTCAGAACTCTGGGAGGCTAAAACAGGAGGATCATAAGTTTGAGCCCCGCCTGGGCATCTTAGTGACTTAATGAGACCCTGTTTCAAAATAGAAAAATAAAAAAGGACTGGGGATGTAGCTTAGTGTGGAAAGCCCTGGGCCTAATCTCTAGCACTGAAAACACAAAAAACACCACTTTTAGTATAGTAAAATTTCAAAGTTGCATAAATGTAAAAAGAGTAATGAAACTCTGATTTTCATACTACCTGTGATATGGTAAAGAAAGACCATGGCGGAGGTCCTGAGTCGCACGGAAGACGCCGAATCACCCCGCTGCAGACAGGCAGGTCTGCCCATGCCCTACCGAGGTCCCCAGTTGCGCGGAACACACGACGCCAAATCAGCCCGCTGCAGACAGGCAGGTCTGTGCATGCCCTACTGAGGTCCTGAGTCCCGCGGAAGACGCTGAATCAGCCCGCTGCAGACAGGCAGGTCTGTGCACGCGCTAACGAGGTCCTGAGTCACGCGGAAGACACCGAATCACCCCGCTGCAGAGAGGCAGCCACCTGATTCCACACAACAAAGACGCAGAGGACACCAGACCACCAGACCAAGGTACTGAGTCCCACTGTTCCCGGCCCAGAGGTAGGGGCTTCTGAGCCGTCGTCCCACTGCTCCTGGTCCAGAGGAAGGGGCTTCCGGGCCACCAT